CTCATCAACTCAGACCATGAAACCCTATATAAACATTCTGCCCACACACTGCTTCACAATGTGTCTTTGGTCTACAATAACAATAAATGTGATAACACCAATAATAAATCCTACATGTTTATCTAAAGCTAGCTAAAATTTATATTTTTACATAATTGTCTACAGTGACCCAATACTGAGTATAATGTAAACATAACACCAAATATAAAAATAGAGAAAAGATTTGTATGAGCCTGTTGGATTGATACAAAAACAACTTTTCACACTTTAATTGGTTGTGATTCCATTCACAAATGATCTCATTCCATGTAATGACAGACTATTTTCCACTATTCTCTGAGAACACAGGAAGAATAAACATCGCTCATCCAAGAAAGATTTTCAACCAATGAGGGCAGTTCTGAGCCAGACAACATTCCCATGAGTATCTGCAAACACTTGGGTACCTTAGAAAACAGACAAACATCCATCTGTTTTAGATGGCTTTATTGAGTTGCTGTGCTGTCATCTGTGGGGTCTGAGCTCAGTGACCTCACAGGTCTCTAGAGTCAAAGCACAGTGACCTATTGGAAGGAGAGAGAATTCCATAATATTAAGTGGAAAAGAGTGGTCTCTTTAGAGACCAGGTGACTTGCCCAAGCTGAAATTGTGTAGAAATTACTGTTTCTCTCCATGTGTTGTTGGCAGTACCCTGCGATTCCTAGTTCCGAAATCTGAAGAGCAGCATGTGGGTACCTAAGCTCAGCATCTTTACAGCTCTTCTCTGCTGCCTCAGACTGTTAATCTCCTGCGGTAAATGGCGTTACCCTTTTCGTAAGGTATCAGTGTGGCCCTCATACTTCTAGACATAATCCTGGAGTATTTAGGAGGTGGCCCAGGAAGGAGATACGATTTTGACAGTTTGTTGACCCCCGAGGGACTTGTTTGGCTTTCAACCCACCATCACTGTAGCCTTAAAGCTAGCCTAGAATTCAGCTGGTGGCGCAGCCGGGGCCAGGAACCATGAGTAATTCTGATATGAAACAGCACCAGGTGAATGAGAATCTTTTTTCTCCTCGGCTTTGTTTGACTTGCTCTTTGCAGGAGAAGATGGCATTCATTTCTTAGGCACATTATTTTTTCTTTTTTGCCTCAAATGAATCCTAACAAAAGATGTGCCGCTGAGAAGGAAGCATGCTTATTTTAGTATTTACCCTGAAAAATTACATATAACTAGGCAGGAAGGTGACTATTTCAGATAGGATTCAAATACACTAATTGGATTCTTCTTGTTCCGCTTCTGATTTCCACAGAGCCAGGACATTTTAACCTGATGTGCAATTTTAGATACCGTGAATTCCTATTGTTCCTGATAATAGCTTGGTCTGTTTACCTTAGATGGTCCCTTCTTCCATGAGAATTTTTCCATGAGAATTGACAGATGTGTCTTTTGAAATCTTCTCTGCAATTGGTAATAGCCAAATAAGACAAGCAATTATTGGCACTGTGTGCTTTGAGAGAGAGAGAAAAAAGCTACACTTTTGATGCCTAATGGGCTTTGAGTGTGCATGTGGGGGAGGATACAATATATACCCCCTACCAAAAAAATAGTTCATCTCTTTGCATGAAAATCAGAATGTGAAAATTCCATATTGCAATTCACCTGTGCCAGCTGAATAAGGTACAAAGGATGGAAATGTTTCCTGCTTACTCTTAAAGTAAGTAGGTATATAAGGTTTTTTTAATGGAATGTGAAAAAAACACCATGGAAAAAATAAAATAAAAATAATGATGCTTTCCCTATATATGAACTAGATGTACAGGACAAATAAAGCCATATTAAATAAATAGTACACAATACACAAGTAAAACAACACTTACATGGAACTAAATCAGGAAATCCCTGGTTGTAATAATCAGTTCTATGTGAATTGTAGTTTACTTTGAAAAATGTGTTGTATCTTCTTGAAAGCATTATTTTGTTTAATAAAATGTACAGAGCGATTTTTTCCTTATTTCTTGAGATTAATATACTTGCATCATTTCCCCATTCCTTTTATTCTTAGTTAGAGACACAAAGGACAACTTCTGTAAAGGAAAACATTAGATTGGAGTTGGCTTACAGTTTCATAGGGTTAGTCCATTATCATCATGGTAGAACATGGTGGCGTGCAGGCAGGCATGGTGCTAGAGAAGAAGCTGGGAGCTCTACATCTTGATCTGCAGGAAGCAGGAAGAGTGTTATGTTGTCACAGTGGGTGTAGCTTGAATATAGGAGACTTCAAAGGCCACCTCCACAGTGACACACTTCCTTCAGTAAGGGCACATCTATTCCAACAAAGCCACATCTCCTGATAGTATCGCTCCATTTGAGGGCCATTTTCTTTCAAACCACTATGCCTTTCCTTGTTTCAAACTCTCTCATAGATCCTCCTTGCTCTTTTTCAAGTTAATGGACTTTAAAATAATTACTTACTGTTCTAGTTGCATGTATATGAATATCTATGCATGACCATTTGGTATTGGGTAATCAAGTCATGTGCTCTTCCCTGCAGAAGACTGTTTCTCAAGATCTCAGCATTCCTTCGTTGCTTGGTTGAGACCTCATGAAATATCCTTTACCCACATTAGCCCATCTACTGTTGTCCTTGTTCAGCTCATGTTTAGGCCGCCATATTGGTGAGAGCTTCTGACACTCCCAGGAGACAAAATCTCACGGCAAACTCCCTGATCCTTTGGCTCTCACAATCATCCCACGCCCTCTTCTGCAACGTTCCCTGAACCCTAGGCAAGGGAACTGTGTTGTGGGTGAATCAGTTGGGACAGGATGGCATAGCTCTGCATTCTGGTTGGTTGTGGTTCTCTGTAATGATTTCCATCTGTGGTAAAGAGAAGTTTCTTTGAGGAGGGGTGACTAAAACACTTATCCATAGGTAAAAGAGCAAATACTTAGGACGTAGCTAGGGATTATGCTACACTGGTATTTCACTGGTTAATAAAGTGGAGCTTGTGGCTCCTCCTCCAAGATCCATGACTTCACGGCCCCTGAGTTACTAGTACTCAGCATAATTTCCCTATTGTTGAGCAGGTCTTAAGTCTAATTAGAGAAATAGTTCTCAACCTTCCTAGTGTTTCAACCCTTTCATACAGTTCCTCATGTGTGGATACACCCCCAACCATAGAATTATTTTTGTTGCTACTTCATAACTGTAATTTTGCTATTGTTATGAATTATAATGTGAATATCTGTGTTTTCCGACAGTCTTAGGTAACCCCTGTGAAAGGGGTCATGACCCACAGGTAGAGAACCACTCAATTAAAGGGTTTATGGATAACACCATCAGGTTTTCATGGCATTCTGGTTGTTGTGTAGCTCACAGGTTCATAACTGGGTAGTATTATTGGTTGCCTCCCTCCTTTGAAAGCTTACTTGATGCCTTCCAGTACCATAAAAGTGAGTCCTCAGCAAGGATGCTTATGATCAGTGCTAGCACCTAGCAAACCGTGTAAGTGAGGTAGTAAGAAGAATGTAGAGAAGCTAAGCCAATGTCGAGGACTGTTTGTTAAATGCATTTTTACTCTCATTTTCAAGTCATAATTCCTGGGTTCAAAATGAGACAGGCCACAGAGGCCATCTGTGTGCTTCAAGCAGTGGCCCCTCTATCCGTGCTCCTTCCTGACCTGACCCTCCCCATCAGGCTCTGAAGACTCCAAAGGTCTCTGTCACACATTCTAGAGTTTCGGGTAAAATTGATTGGGGGGTTTTGAAAGTGTCCACATGACTCCAGTTTACAAAAAAGTTTGAGATCTACTTATTTCAAGGATAAATTTGTTTGCTTCCTCATTCTGCAAGAAATTAAGGGGACTGGGAGGAGATATGCATTGTGGATGAGGCACAGCGTAATACAGTTTATGACTTAAAAAATAATCTAGCGTCCTGGTTCTGTGTTTCCAAAGAAATTCTGAGGAACTCTTAGCTAAAGGGAGAAAAGTGACTGAAAAGTAGCCTCTGACATGGAATGATACTCCACAGGCTGATAGGCCAGCAACAAGGCCTTCTTCCTGGCGTCCCTATCAGACCAGTGTCTGGTGTCTCATCTTCTGCCCAGAAGTGGCAGTGGCAATTCCTTCTAGCACAGGCTTTGGCTGAAGAGTGAAATAGTGACCTAGTGTCAGCCTTTCTTTTGGTGTCTCAGAACCATGGAAGTAGCTTCCACTGGGGCACCCTGGAGTCTGTGGGTCATGGCTATAGATGCATGGCTCTTCATTATCATATATGCCCCCAGGAGTATAGGTTCAAAAGTGGAGAACAGAGCCAGAACAGGTGTTAGGTCATTTGTGACAGCAGCAAGAAGTCAGAGGAAGGCTAGGCCTGTCTGGCTGTCACCTTCTCCTGGGGTAGTTTCATTTATATGTAATGTATTTCAGCTTCTTCAGTTTACTTCTGCTTTTGACAACAACCCTATGAGGTTTGTACAATAGAGAGTAAGTCACATATAGAGCCTAGAAACAGAATCTTTAAAAAAATAGTTTCTTTTATTTTTCCAGATTATCATATAATTACATCAGTTTCCCTTGCCTTTCCCCTCTCCAAGCCATCCCATATACCCTCTCATTGTTCTCTTTCAGATTCTTGGCTTTCTAAAAATTTAATTGTTGTTATACACATATACATATTTATATATGTTCCCAAACCATGTACTCACTCTGTATAATGCTACTTGCATGTATGTTTTCAGTATTGGATAAACAATTGGTGTGCTCTTCTCTGGGGAAGGCTATTTCTCCTGCCCTCAGCATCCCTTAGTTGCCTGTCATTCTTTGTGTGAAGTTGGACCACTTAGACTTTTCCCTGTCTGCCTTAGCATGTCTACTGTTGTTGTCTTTGTTCAGCTCAGGTTTAGGTAGCCACGTTGGTGAGACCTTAAGGGTGTAGTTGCTGACATTTCCAGGAGATGCAATGCCATAGCAACCTCCCTGATCCTCTGGCTCATGCAACGTTTTCTCTCCCTTTTCTACAGTGGTCCCTGAGCCTTTGGCGCAGGAGTTGTTACACGGACATCATCAGTTGGGACTGTTCCACATCCCTGTATTTTGATTGAAGAACCAGAATCTTGTGTGTCTTCCTCCTGCCCTGCGTTTCTGAAGGCCATCCGCAGGGGAGGGGCAATTTTAAGGTAAGCAGAGCTTAGACTCCAACTAGAGAGTGCTCATCCCACCTCCAAGCCCCTGCTCTCACATTCAGAAAGGCTGTGAACAGTGGTCCCACCTGAGTAGCACTTAAATGGAATCAGTACACACCAAATACTTCCCGGCAGACTGTCATCTCTGCCTTTGCTGGCTGAAGTAACAGTTTGTACAAGTGTCTCACACTTTCTGGGAAGATAGGCATGATACTTCTTCCATGTTGGGCTACTAAAAACAGAGGTCTTCACACCGGACCGAATTCATTTGGAGAAGAAATTCTTCGTGTGATCTGAAAAGTCAAGTCCAAGTGTTTTTGTTCTCATTTTCCTAGAGATCATGTTAAGATCCTGCTGGAAGTTTCTGTGCCAATAAAGATGCACCATCCCACGATGCCTCTGTGAATAACGAGACCCCGAAGAGGAACACATCATCCTTACATGTAAGTTATAGGCCAGCCAGGGCCAGCACATGCAGCGCTTGGCTCTCTTCCCTACCTCCTATGGGCCAGGAGGTTCGTCTTCTGCGTGACTTTGGCTATTTTTCGGGTTCATGTTGCTTTATTATCTTTTATCAAATTAAAATGGTTTTTGTTTCTTTCTGACTAAAAGATTATTAATAAACTTGGCTTGTGTTCAGCAAAGATAAGCCGCCCGGATGAGTGTAGGTTTAAGTTTGGGGCCTATAATTTTGTCTCTGCGCACATTGGACTGACATCTCACAGGAGGACTGGGGCTTCCATATGCATGATGGTATAAATAGCAAGGCTTTGTGATATGGGGGTGCAGCAGCCTCGGAATAGCTAAGCTGGAAGATGTTATGATAATGCTATTTTTTTTTTTAGCCTCCACGCATCTGTGTAGAGGGAACAACATCTTATTATGTGTACACAATGTGCTAACCAAATGCCTAGCAGACAGCAGTTGGCTTTGCTGGGCGAGCAAGGCTGACGACAAAGCCTCTGCACGTTGCTACCCAGAGAAGCATAAATTAGACAAGGAGTCGCAGGGCTGGGGAGGCAAGATAACATCCTGGGAATGGTTCAGCCTGAGAGCTGGTGGGCTGCGCAGGGAAAAGGGGAGAGAATGAAGCCGAAAGGCTACGTGCCAGATGGCTCAGGTCTACGGAGCACGTTTCCATTGTCCAGGGCTAGCCGTTTGTTAGCCCTAGACATTTATCTCTTAAAAACTTCCTACCCAGTTGAAAATCAACTCCTAATTGAGTGGGTTTGTTCAGAAGAGGATGGAGTCCAGCCATGAGAAAAAATTGAGTGTGTTTGAATTGAACGCAGATGCCAGAGTAAAAATTTTTAAAATAATAGATTGCTGCTTGGAACGGAAGGGTAGGGTCATTACATTAATACTATCTTTTTAACTCTTCCAAATCCTGTGGATAAACTCTACTGATAGTGGATTATTTTTGAATAGACTAACATGATGAACTTTATTAACCAAACAACATATCTATTTCTCACTGTATGGGAGAAGTTTGTATCTTCCTTCCATAGGTACCAATCAACACATCTTCCCCAGGATGCAGGAGTGACATTTCACAGTGAGATTCATGGCCATCACCTAACCCAAACACAGAAAGGAAACCATGTGCCATAAAACAGCCTTTCTTCAGTGTGGCCGGTAAGGCTTTGCCTCTGAAGGATAGCGGTCATAAGGTCATGGAGTAATCTTTGAATCTAGAACGGAGAAGTGCTTGCTCACCGCTGCACGCTTGAATTCAGTCACGTCAAGGGGGCTGCTGTTTAAACATTAGCATCAGTCTTTGACTCCAGTGCCTCCCAGAACTACTGATCCTAGTGAGGGAAAGTTAAGCTTAGAAATATTATGAACACGGGGGAGGGGGGAGGGGGGATGATTTAAGGCAGCTGAGGTTATTGCTTGCATTTTAACAGGAAGTCCAATTAGATCCTGGATTGAACCGTAAATAGGAAAACACAAAGAAATGCTAATATTTTTAAAGATGTCAGTTCAACTCTGAAAACTACAATTTTAAGTTTGGCAAGAGACAGAATGACTTCCTCTGGGATTTTAAAAGAAAAATTTTCAGGAAAATATTTTTATTTATTTGGTTTTTCTACATTCATATTAGTTCAGGCAGCATCCAAGTGTATATCAAATTTAGAACAATGGAAAAACATAGAAAATACCATAAAATTTATTCAAGATTCTAATTATGATAAAACATTTCCTGAGTAGTTTAAATACCATAAATTTATTTTGTTTAAAGTATTTGGCTAATATGGTCTTTTTTTTTTCAGGGTGAGGTTGAATGTTTATTCAGGGGGTTATGGGGGAGGAAGGGTGAAGGGGGGGACAGAGAGAGAGGGAGAAAGAGAGAGAGAGACAGAGAGAGAGAAGAGGAGAAAGAGACAGAGAAGGGGGAAGCAGAGAAGTGGGAAGAGAGGCAGAAGCGAAGCTGCCTCTCCGAGAGGAAGATGGAAAGGAGAGGGCTAATATGGTCTTATAAGCTTTTCTTTCATAAAGAAATCAAGGCTTTGTCCTTGAAAAATGATGGAAAACTAGACCTTTGGAATCTGATACTGGCGATAATTTCAGGTCATTGTTTTCATTCTTCATATTGCAATGCCTGAGTAGTCACATGTGATGGGTTCACATTGTGTGCTCCTCCCAGCTTCATTAGTAATCTTAGGGGAGATTTTAAACAAGGAAAAATGCTTTTTTATGAAGCCAAAGTTTTCTTAGGCACATGAGGCACACGTGTAGAAAAGGACAGGACCGCTATTCATACCCTGGAAAGGCCACATCACCATGCTACTCCAGCCGAGAAAGCTGCTCCGAAGTCTCAGGGCCTTGCTCTCATCGGGACTCATTGTTTATTTGATCACGGTAGCAAGGTGGTAAAAGCTGTACGGCTCCTGCACCTCAATCCTGTTCCAAACTCTTTGATCCCTTTGATACATGAAAATCTGTTCAAAGATGAAGAGACACCACAGTGACATCTCACATAGAGGTTTTCCCACCAACTTTCAGCGTGGTTTTATTATGCATGGGAAGTAGCCATTTCTAAGAACAGATGCAATGGACGGAAGCCTTTATCCTTTATAAGAATTAAGGTTTTCTTATTTTTCGGCAGCCCTGCACTGTAAGTAACTACCACAGAGGAGTCTGATTCATACTGGACAGTTACAGACTCCAACACAGTGATGGGGCTATTGGACTAGGAGTGGGCTTCTAACCAATCACGGCAACATTTGCACCCTCGGCATCCACAGGAAACATCTTTTTTCCATTTTAAATCATGACTCGAGGACAGATATGTGCTGTCTGTGGTTATCTTTCCTCAGACATGGAAAATGAACCAGAGGCCCAAGGGATCACGAACTGATGCCATTACTAGATATCTCCTGCATTTCCCAGTGGCGTGGCTGTTTTTTTTCCATTTTCCCAAATAATCCTTTGTACTTGAATTTCTCTCCATTGCAGTTGAAGAGGTACTTACCAAAACCCGGCGAAAATTCATTCCTGCCGTTCTATGGTGTCTTCCAATGCTTGTTCGCTGAATTCAACTCGCAGGCCCCAGTTTGAATGCTTGCATGACACTGTGTTTAGAATTCACAATGAAAAGGTGACAGAGTTCAAGTGTAGCAGAAATTACTGTAGATGGTTGAGCCTGAAACAGCACCCTGAATTGACGCTTTGGGAGGTTAGAGTAGAGACAGATAATTGAGAACAAGCGTAACTCAGAGAAGTGTTTGCACAGGAGATGCACTTGACTTTTACTAATGAGCATCCGTGGAAGAAAAGGTCCTGAGAAAGGAGGACATTGCATAGGAAGAGGAGACAAATCACTGAGCTGGAAGTGTCCTCAGGGGAAGGGTGGGGCTGTGTGGGACTTGAAAACTAGGCAATGGCGTAAGATTTGGTGTGGTAGGAAACAGATCCTTGAAAGTTTTGGTTAGGGATACACCCGATAAAAAAAGATATGCCATAAATACTAGTACTTCTGGCCTGAAAGAATGACTTAGGAAGGAGAGTGAGGAGGCTGTAGCCAGCACTCCAGCAGTGCTATGTGAGGGGACAATGACAACATGGACTTAGCTTGTGGCAGTGAAAGCAAAGAAGAAAGTGAGATCATTATAAATATTGTGTGTGTGTGTGTGTGTGTGTGTGTGTGTGTGTGTACTGAACCCATGAGATTTTATTGAAAGGATAAAGAAGTGAGTTTAAAGACTGTTATCTCCAAATTTTTAATTCTGTATGTGAGGATGTTTTCTTGTATGTGTGCAGTTTGGATTATTGCAAAAGCATTTGGAGGGCTGCGTTGTGGAGGTATAAGATTTGTACTTGAACTCCAGGGACAGAGAGAACAGGGCAGAACAAATGGTGGGATAAACTCCAGAGAAATGGCGAAGTCAAGAGAATGAATGCTGAGAGTAAGGGGAAGAGAAGGAGCGCTGGATTCACACGCTACATGGAGAGAGGCAGCCAGAGAAACAGTGCAAACAATGGTCAGAACAGTGGTCAGAATTATGGTGGAGAAGTAGAAAAGTCTCGGAAGAAGATATTGGTGTACACTTTGATTGCTTAGACCCATTGTGTTATCGGACTTCCAAAATGATCGTTTAAAAAGCTTGCATTTGTCCTTAATTTACTGCTAGAGCTCTTTTATAGAAATGAATCTTGCTGATGGCTGTGGTAACACTTATCTTCTATCCCAGCATCCGGGGAGCTAAGGCAGGAAGATAGTCCATCAGAGGACAGCTTGGGTATATGGCAAGACTGTATGATAATTAACCAAACAAACAAATAAGAAAAACAAACAAAACCCAAACGCAGTTAACTACAAATTATTGTGAAATACAGTTTACATAGAAAACATGGATTCCACAGAGACAGCTGACCTGAACTCGTCACAGTCAGGGAGCCTGCATGGGACTGACCTAGGGCCTCTGCATGTGTGAGACAATGCTGCAGCTTGTCTCTTAGTGAGCATTCTAACAGTGGGAGCAGGACCTCCGTGGAGCTTAACTGACTTTTTGTAACCTGTTTCTGTCTTAACGTGATGTGCCATGCTTTGTGCAAGCTCATGGGAGTCCTGTCCCTTTCTGAATGGAGATGGAGGAGGAGTGGATGCCTGGAAGGAGTAGGCAGAAAAGGGGAGGGGATGGGAGGAGATGGGGGAGGGGAAACTGGTTGGTATGTAAAATAAATGAAAAAAAGTTACTTAAATAAAAAAGACAGGAAAAATAGAATGTTAGAAGGGAGTTTCAGAATCACACAACAGATACAGCAGTTCGGATAACATTCTTGGGGTGTTGGGGGATTGCCAAGGCTCTGACATGGTCTCCATGCTCATGTAGTAAAAATAAGCTTATTTTTGAATAAACAAAGTTAAACTTTTTAAATATATGACTGTTTTATAGCAGTAGGAGACAGCTTCTAATCGTCAGAAACTCTTTTA